AATGACACAGACAGGATCACAGCAGACCCCTGCTGGATGCTGGTTCAAGTCTGAGATCCTATTTAATATTAGAAACACAGTGCTCTGTGATGGACAGATCAGACGCACGGAATACAGGGACAAATACAATAGGTGAATGAAAACACATCGAACTATGCACAGGCACACTGATGAACTCTCAGCAAGCAGTGCTGGTATATCCAACCCTTGGCCTAGCTGGCTAATTATAGGCAGCTGCTTGCAAACACACATAAAAGAGAAAGTAGTATGTAAGTTTAAAACTGACAACTCTCCAAAGGGCAGGATGTTAAAGTGAATCCTCAAGGTTGTAATCCTTTCAGAATCATAGGAATCCTCCAATTAATGGTTAACAAATAATTATAGCAATAAAGATTAGTCGAGTAAACTGTGAATTTCACAACCCCCTTCAAATAAATTATTTGGCACTTCTATGTTTACCAAAGATGTCACCTGAGGTATGTAGGGTGATCTTTACTAAAAGCTATCAGAAAATGTTTTATGCAGGTCTGGAGGGGTTGGGGGTTAGCCTTGTCCTGAAAAGGGGACATGTCACGTGCATGCACACCAGACTAGCCATGCAGACCAGCACCACTCAGGGGAGTTGAATGCAGATAGTTTCTGAAACGCTCTCGAGTACAGTATGCCCCGAGTTCTGTTTGCATAGCTCACATGCATCTAATGATTCAATGATTAATTTGCACTGCACGTATCGGGGTCATGTCTCTGGACAGGAGCTCAAATTAGGAATGTCTTGCTGAATTTGGAACTGTTAAAGGGTAGAGTTTTTCAGGGATGCAATTACTAAAAGTACCAATTCTGTGAAAAGTAGTGCAAACCCCTGTTGTAACATGTTGGCGACTTAGGGTGTCTATTCAGACAAGACAGACAGGTGTATCACTAAGTCGTGCTGCATAGTATCCTGAACAACTGGTATGTTTGAGGAATGAGTTTGTGTCAAAGGGTGAGATGTACTAAGACCTATTGACAAAGTGTGAGAGCTCCTGTCAATCTATCCCTTACAGAGGTGTTAAATTCCCTCATTGAGACCCTAATTCCCGTCAAGTGTTATGATTTCTGTACTTAAAGTGTAAATGAACAATTAACAATGTGTAGCACTGAGCAATGTGTGAAGTACCACCCCAAAAATGTAACAACAGTGCTACAGTTGCACATCACTGATAAATCATTTACGTATCCATCGTAACTAATCGTCATTTAATAACAAGATCAAATAAAAGTTACAAAGGAATATAGTGAGAAAGACCTTTTATTTACTAAACACTGAATTGGTAGTCAAATGAAAGACACATTTGCTAGGTTAAAGGAAAAACTGCCACGCTTTTACTCAAACTCAATTCTTTTGCCCAATTTGGCATAAAAGTAGGATTTTCCTTGTTCATTTTCCTCAGTTCCCATTTAGTAAAAAAACAAACTCATATGAGTAAAACAATGATGGTTTACTAACTATACATTAAATTGTAGTGGTTTGAAAAACCAAAATGCAAACGTTTGGCAAATATAAATGTTATGGAAAACTTCAACAACTGACTAGTAGCTTGGATATTTTCCTTAATTTTTCAATTGTCCTTTGAATTATAGGTAACAGATGAGAGTATTATTAATTATCTTAATGGTATTTATATTATCAACCATAAAAGAATAATTAAGAAATAAAAGACAGAGTGAACTTTGGCAGGAACTGATTCTGGAACCTAGAGTACTTAATAGATAATATAGTATTTAATAGCTTTAAAGCTATCCCACCAGGTATGTATTTGTACATTCCCGTGTATTACTGGGCATACTGAGGTCTTCTTCTAACCCTTGAAATATATACCTCACATACATTATTTTTGATGTAAGCCAAGATACCTGTAAAATAATTGTTTTGTCTAACTGGCAATCTTTTTCAGTGTTTGATAAATTTATAATTAAAATGTGTCCTTCCTGTCACTCTCCAGATGTTTTACCTATTACAGCCCTGAGACTGGGGCCAATGTTTTGTTTCTGTTGATGTGTTTTTTCTATTGTCCGTTATCTTCTCTGATTGGTGTGTGATTTAGGACCGAGTAAATTCTGGTTGCTGTATTGCAGTACAAGCCAGGTATATTTTATATATTTAATCGGTGATTACTTTAAACATTTTTTTGTATAGAGATTAGGAACCAGTTTATGTTACATTTGCTTATTATTCTTGTAGAAAACTAGAAAAGCAGCAAGGGTAGCAAGCCTATGAGAGCGCTGGAGGATAGCAACTAGAATAGTGGTATCATTCAAGTTGGGTTGTGAGTGAAGATTATAGTTTGAGTGATTACTTAGGAAGAAGAGGACACATATAGATTGGCGTAGTCCAAATGACAAGTAGTGTGGGTCCTTTGGGTTGAAAGGGAATTAGGCTTTGAGGTGCCTATAATTAGAGCCACCATAGGGCACACATAGAAAAAGGTGTTTAAATGTAAAGTGCTGTTCCACATAGATGTGCCCGGTGCGACAACATTTTGCTCATACAATTTGACTTTAAGGATGCTCTATCATTCAACTAGAATTTTTGAATATTTCATAAAGATAGAATCTTCATGAAATTCTCACATTGAAATTCCAACACATTCAAAATATATCAAGCTATAACTACTTTTCGTGAAGGGACTATTTTGTTTTATGGAAAGGTCTCAAGTGGACAAAACTTGGAAGCATCTGTTGTCAAGATTTGCCAGTTTCCCCAGCCTTCACTAGTGGTGGCTGTGGGAATCACAGATCGTGAGACTTGCTCTGTGGAGGATCTTACGTTCTTGCTGGATAGTTGATGGACATCAGCGCTGTACTCACGCACATGAGCAAGCTCTTGACAGTGAAGTACCAGGAGTCCAAGAAAGAAGAGGAGGCAGGGGTACAGGAAAGCATCAAGTATATCTACCTTCCCCTGCACCTGTGAGCCACGACATCTTAAAAGGGGTGTCACTATTGGGGGTTTTCACAAAATATATACAATAAATAGAATTAGTACAGCATCCATGTGCAGAGCATTATTACAGACACCTCATTAATAATATACAATATAAGGTCCATTTGAATACATTGTAGTCCCATCCATCCAACAACAATTCGGGAAGAGTACACTTCAAATGAGGCATCATCATAATTTGGTTAGGCTCTTGCGTCTTATATAGACATTTTCTTCTTTACCAAGTATTGTCAGTCTTCTAATGAATCCAAAGCACATACAATACTCACAAGTAGTTTATAAAGTGTATGTTTGAAACATGGATACAAACTGATCCTGTTTCACAAAAACTAAGTTGAGCACTTGTGATAGTATATTATTATTGTTTATGCTGGACTGGGCAAATCAAGGTTAGAGACCAAATACGTAAACCTCATGGAGATTTGTATGACCTTTATTGGTCTAAATACCCACAGATAGCTGTATTACCTCTTTATTTAAACAGGATCCACTCCCCTTCCTCAGCATATGCATATAAATGTTATACAGTCCCTATTAAACTGTTTTACAACACCGGGGTTTAAGGTTCTTGGCCAAAATATTGTGTAGAACTGCAGAATATGTTGGCATATAAAATTCAAAATAATTTGTTTTAAGATAGATTGCAAGCTTTTCCTCAAAATTATTTTAACATCTTTTCAGATAACATTATCATACCACACATTTCTGTCTCGGGATCTGTTAAATAGTTTTCACACAACTTTAAATTATGTGTCTGGTTTAAAAAAAAAAAAAGATAAATTATATATATATATATATATATTTAATTAAAAAAAAATTTATTAAACAAAACATCAAATAAAACTGTGAATCTTAGCTTTGGAAACAGGTATCACTTTAACTAATGAAAATTGCTTGCCATCCCCTTTCCCGATGCACACTAAAATGTAATAAGTTTAATGTAATCATAAAACCACAGGAAAAAAAAGAAATCTGATTTTCGGCCAAAGAGCTTGCAGTCTACGGAGTTTGCTGCACTCGTTTAATAAAATCGCTGCTGTCACTTTGACTCGCCAAGGCTGACTCATCGGATCTGAACATTTTCACACTCTATTAAAAAGCAATAAAACATTTTCTTCCAAGACACGGTTTGGAGTAGACAGATTCCCTTTAAAAGGTTGTGTTCTGCTGTTCCCAATAAAGAAAAAACCCGAGGGAGAGAGAGGAAGGAGGGATGGATTGTACAGATGGTTGATGTCAGACTGAAATATTCCTTTTTTCCTCCCACTCCTCACCCCATCCTTCTTTCTCCTGGCTGTATATAAATCACAATAACCACCTCCTTTGCTTCTGAACTTTGCTTACCTGTTATGGGCTATCAAAGCTCCAATCGTAGGAGAGATTTCCATCAGTCAATGTCCAGGAGGGAGGGGAACAGGGAGTTACTGTGGAGAGACAGGGTCACCCGGAGTGCATTTGGTCAGGTTAAGCACTTGAGGTAAATTACAAATTATGCAGCTGTCTGTCTTGGCTTGATTGATTGTAATCAACAAGGCTTCAATCACTGAGCTGACTTGTGTTCAAATTGGCCAAACTCTCGCAAGTTTAGGCCTTTCCTCTCTGCTCTCCAGCAGCCCGTCCTTCAAAACTGTGCCCTAAAAACGACCCTTTATTTTTTTTTCCGCTGAAAAGAAAAGTCTCTTTCTGGAAATCTTTGAAAGGAATGTTATTAATTCTGGCGAGGGACTCAGTACAGTAAAGGCTGTTTGAGGGGTGAGAAGGAGGAGGGGGGGAGAACCTTACGGAACTGCCAATATTCTGTCAACCTGAAACTACACTTTATAGCACGCGCTTTAGACGAACCTTTAACCCTCACTGGGAACAAACTGAAACGTTAGCCGTTTTCGGGCCTATTCTAGAGATAGGACTTGTTTATTTTGATTTTGAACTGAATTGCCCTGAACTGAAGTTATTTTTCATTTTAATCGCAACAAAAACTCTGAATTTTATATAACTTCAGGAAATTTGTGGAGTTTGGTGAAATTCTAAACTCTTTGTTGGCATCTAAATATGTCAATAAGAGCAATTTGCCACTACTCTACTACTTTCACTAAAACACAGATCCTTTCATTTTACACTTGCACCTTCAGTGATGACTGAACTTGTACTTTGCTATTCACCTATAAAATATCTTTTCCTTTCTAAATTGGTTATATTCTCTAATAGAGAAAGGAAATGTTAAATCTGCGAGGTTGAACTGAGGAGTTAGTCTTTCCTTTCAGCGGTTCAGGCCCAGTAGGCCGGCTCCTTTAAAAACTCCCCATGAAATTTCAGCCTGAAATCTGAATTATGTTATAATTTACTGCTCCGTTTAAATAGGCAAACTCGCAGCTAATATCTCAAACTGGCCCAAACAGATCAGTCAGTTGACACAGCTGCTTTCTATTACCACTTTGAAGTCAATTCCATGCCTTGTACAAGTTAACAGGTTTATGTAAAATATTTGCAGTTCTCCTAAACGCCTCCGAATTCCAGATCCCCCTCCCCGGCCAAGATTTCCTCTTTTGCTTGAATGGCACCAAAGTCAGAAGAAGAATTCCCAGGACTCGCTCACAGCTTTTACAGATGCTGTAAAATGTACCAGATGCCTTTGGGTTACCAGCAACAGCTCAGTTCCTGCTGGTTTAATATCATGCTGGTTATACAGTCCAGGCTAGGAGGGCACACATGGGGTTGAATTGAGAGATCAAGGGCACACTGGAAGGAGGGACAATACAGGCAATTAAAAACGAAACAATATTATAAGGTTATAAGGGATTACCACACAGTGTCTACAAATCAATCATTCAGCTACATATACAAACATATATAAAAACTTCTGTATAAGCAATAAAAATATGCATGCATCCAATAGCTAGGGACGCATCTCAGGTGTACAGTTCCCATTTGCTCGACACGGGTGCTTGCCCCTCAAAGATATCTTTATTTAGAAACTTCATCAGGGTTATTCACTACAGTAAGAACTTTTGGGTATTTAAAATGAATTTAAATGTTTGGGCAAAAATGGCCACATTAGAATATTCTCCAACTCAATTATGCTTCCAGTTCAACTACAAAATTCTATGAGAATTCACTTTGAATTATTGACAATTCTGACTTTAATGTAAAACGCTGTGAATGTTAGGTGCATATGAGTCCATAACACAGCTCCATAATAAAATTCTCCGAAAATCTTTACTTGTATTGTGAGCCTATGTCTCATCTTGGGGATGTTTAGTAGCCCTCTATTTTAAACAAACCCTATAAATACATATAGTTTGAAAAAGCTCTCAGCCCAGGGTTTGCCACATTGGGTCTCTTCTTATAGAAATTTTCTTACGGGTTTCTGTCAAGGCTAGTAGTCAAACTTTTTATAAATGATTTATTTATGATATATTACATATTTATTTAAATGTAAAACAAAATAACTTAGCTCTACAATTATAAAACTAACTTTGAATTGCAGTGTGGATATCACCTTGCTCAGCAGCAATAAAACTCACAGTAATGTGTGTTGTGTATGAGCATATTAGAGAAATCTACAGCATTACAACTCAAAGGAATGTTCATGAGTTTCACAACAATGAAATCCTAGTAATAAGCAGTCTATATGAGTCTATTATAATGTTTAATTGCAATTAATGTGCAATTAAAGTTTATTGTGAATGAGTTCCACATCAGCAATGATAAAATAGGATATTTTTAAACCAGAGTACTCGAGTATTGTACGCTTTAAGTAATATTTATTTATTGTCATGTCCACCTGGCTTTGTGGGGTCACATACCTCCATCTTCATGATCTACCCTAGGTTGTCCACATGGGCTCCAGGTGCCTAGGTGTGCAGCTTTCAGCCTATTTCCAACTTCTTCATAAGGATCTCTTAAGCACTAAAAATTAAAACGTAAAGGGAATATGTACTGCTTACTTGGTCCTCCCAACAGCCCATACTCCTGCTCTGTTCTTTGTTGACTTGCCCTGCTTGGGGACACCAAACAAAGCAAACCTCCTCCATGACATCATGTCACCCTGTTTCTAGTAGCACCAACTACGGATCTGCCATAGTAAAATAACCCACATGCTATGGGTGGATTACCCTGTCTCTCAATTCCTTGGCATTGAGTGTCCACCGAAGAATTGAGAGACAGATGGGAGGAAAAACAATTTTTGAATAGGTTCATCTCCTACGATGTATAAATGAAATTTTATGCTCTTTTTAAAGGAGCTAAAGTTATTTTTTTCACAACAGGTTCCCTTTAAGATGTATGCATTCCAAGTATTTATCATAGTAGAAATTGTATCCAAGAAAGAAATGTGTGAAATCGTCTTTGTATTCTCAAGCATCAGTTCCTAAACCTACACTTGAAGAAGAGAACTCATTGGGATTGTTCATGGAAATTAGATACTGTCTAAACTAAAATCTGTTTTTATAAACGAGATAAATTATAATAAAAAATGTATTGATGTAGCACTTCCTAAATGTTGACAGCTGTGGCATACAGCTTGAAACAGCTGCCAGTATAAAGCCCAGTCTTTGAAGGAAAGCCAGGGAAGTGAAACATGGTATGGGGCATCCACTTCCCCTTCTTAAAACATACTTTGTAACGCTTTTAGGAATTTCGTTTGTAAATTTATTTACATTCATTAATAGCACCCACAGGATCAGGCGGATCTGCAAATAAGATCGCGGAAATTAGCTTCATTTGACAGTGCATGAATGTTTGGGAGCAGTTGTATTTCGGTATTTTGCTGATTCACTATGTATTGTTTTCGTATCATATAGTTTGCATCCATCTATTGCCTGTGAATCAGGTATACATGCTGTAATAGCTAATCTGTCCAATTTCTATTGCACTCATTTTCTAAAATGTAACCACTAACACCATCTGCACGTTTCCACAATTGTCATCCAAGTATCTACAAGCATTTAAAAGAATCTTTCTTTCTTATTGCCTTACATCACACAATCTATCGGTTTAATATTAGTGTGAACAAAGTGACATAGAAACATAGAATGTGACGGCAGATAAGAACCATTCGGCCAATCTAGACTGCCCAATTTTCTAAATACTTTCATTAGTCCCTGGCCTTTTCTTATAGCTCGGATAGCCTTATGCATATCCCATGCATGCCTAAACTCCTTCACTGTGTTAACCTCTACCACTTCAGCTGGAAAGCTATTTCATGCATCCACTACCCTTCCTGATATTATTTTTACACCTTTGCCCCTCTAATTTAAGACTATGTCCTCTTGTAGTAGTATCCTCCTTTACTGTGTTGATTCCCTTTATGTATTTAAATGTTTTTTATCATATCCCCCCTGTTTTGTCTTTCCTCCAAGCTATACATGTTAAGATCATTTAACCTTTTATTGTAAGTTTTATCCTGCAATCCATGAACCACTTTAGTAGCCCTTCTCTGAACCCTCTCTAAAGTATCAATATCCTTCTGGAGATACAGTCTCCAGTACTGCGTACAATACTCCAAGTAAGGTCTCACCAGTGTTCTGTACAATGGCATGAGCACTTCCCTCTTTCTATTGATAATACCTCTCCCTATGCAACCAAGCATCATGCTAGCATTTCCTGCTGCTCTATTACATTGTCTGCCTACCTTTAAGTCATCTGAAATAATTACTCCTAAATCCCTTTCCTCAGATGTTGAGGTTAGGACTCTATCAAATATTCTGTACTCTGCCCTTGGGTTTTTATGGCCAAGATGCATTATCATGCACTTATCCACATCAAATGTCAGCTGCTACAACTCTTACCATTTTTCTAGTGTACCTAAATAATTTGCTATTTGGCTTATCCCTCCTGGAACATCAACCCTACCATCAAGACCTTCTGCAATATTACTAGTAAAAATATTAAAGCGAATGTGTCCAAATACAGATCCAGAGCCCTACTGAAGACAAGTCACAAGCAAACTTAATGACACACTTGCGCTGTGTTTGCTTGTGACTTGTCTATAGTGTATCCACTGGTGTAACTAGGTCGGCTTCAGTTGTATTGTGGTGTAAAATTTATGGCAAGGGTCTGTAGAGAGCGACAGAGTGCGTGTGTATAGGGCGCATAGTTTTTATCGGGTGGTAGCGAGTGTATGTGCATAAAGGTGATGCAGTGTGTCCATGAGACTGTAGAGAGTGTGTATTTAGGAAACATAGTGTGTGTTTGTGCTCAGAGGATCTAGTGTGTGCATAGGGGATCCAGAGTGTGTATGTCATGAATGTAGAGTGTATGTGTAGGTGGTGCATTGTGTGTCTATAGGGGGTCCAATCTGTGTGTGGGATGCAATGTGTATGTTTTTAAGGGGTGCAATGTGTGTGAGGGGGCAGTGTGTATGTGAGGGGTACAGTGTTTGTGTGTGTGGGAGGGGTACAGTGTGTGTGAGGAGTGCAGTGTGTATGTGTGAGAGGTACAATGTGTGGGTGCAGTGTGTGTGTGAGGGATGCAATAGTGTGAGGTTTGCAATATGTATGGTGAGGGATGCAATGTATGTGAAGGGTGTAGTGTCTATGTGAGGGGTAATGTGTGTGTGTGTGGAGGCACACTGTGTATGTGTGGGGTTTAATGTGTGTGTGAGTGTGCAATGTGTATGTGAGGGGTGCAGTGTATGTGTGATGGGTGCAGTGTGTGTGAGGGGTACAGTGTGTGTGTGTGTGTGTGTGTGTGTGTGTAAGAGAGAGCAGTGCAGTGTGTATGTGTGAAGGATGCAGTGTGTGTGAGGGGTACAATGTGTGTGTGTGGGGGGGTTAATGTGTGTGGGAGGTAGTTCGCGGTTCGCCGCGAACGGTTCGCCACGGACTCATCATTGAGTAAACTTTGACCCTGTACCTCACAGTCAGCAGACACATTCCAGCCAATCAGCAGCAGACCCTCCCTCCCAGACCCTCCCACCTCCTGGACAGCTCACTAAGAATGCAGCTTCACAAAATGGATGCTGTCCTGGAGGTGGGAGGGTCTGGGAGGGAGGGTCTGCTGCTGATTGGCTGGAATGTGTCTGCTGACTGTGAGGTACAGGGTCAAAGTTTACTCAATGATGAGTCCGCGGTGAACCGTTTGTGGCGAACCGTTCGGCGAACAGTTCGGGACATCACTAGTGGGAGGTTTCAGTATGAATCTGAGAGATACAATGTGTGTGTGTGAGGGGAGTAATGTGTGTATTAGTGGTGCAATATGTATGAGAGGGGTGAAGTGTTTAAGAAA